AAGAACACCAGAGAGACAAAAAATAATAAAGCAAATACTGCACGTTAAACATCGGGGTTGTCAATCAAAAGTTGGAATGAATTTTTAATGAAAAAATCTTAGTAGGCTTTGCAATCTTTGTCAGAAATATTTTTGACGTTTAAATGTCAGTGGTTTTCTTACTATTATTATTGTTTTATTTAAAATTTTGAAACGTCGAGTGAACGAGCGTAAATGCGATAGAACTTTATTTAAAAATTAATTTGAAAAACAATAATAATAGTAAGAAAAACACTGATATTTAAACGTCAAAAATATTTCTGACAAAGATTGCAAAGCCTACTAAGATTTTTTCATTAAAAATTCATTCCAACTTTTGATCGACAATCCCGTTGTTTAACGGGCAGTGTTTGCTTTATTATTGTTTTTCTCAAAAATTAGTCGTTTTTGGAAAAGTTTTAGAGAGACAAAAAAGTTTTAGGATACTTTTATCTACCTATGAAAAATTTTTCTAATGTATTTATCATCTGCATAAAAAAATTTTAGCAAAAATGTAAAGGGGGTGGTTACGTTTAGTAGTTTAGAAGGGTAGGTTGAAAGTGCAAATAGGGTCAAAACGTGCCCTATTTTGAGTTAAACATATTCCCCAAATTTAATTTTCCTAGCGTTTATAGTTTTTGAGAAAAAAAAATTAAACCAAAATTTTCCACCATTTTTGGAGGGGTGTAGCTCCTTAGGGGAGCCGAAGTCGCCCATGGTTCATATATTAAAGTACCCTTAAAATTGCCTAAAGAATCACTCCATGAAGTTTGGGCATGTAATTCAGATACACCTGTATATTACTATCTTTATCTATGGTTGGAACAAACCAAGGTTTATATATTAAAGGTTGTCTAAGTACCTATGCTGCAATACTTTGATTTGGTTTGTGGGCGAGGGGCAAGAGCAGGAGTGTTTCGTGACGTAAGCGATCACGAATTGCGCACGCAACCTCATGGCCATGTGGTGCTCCGTGCATTTGTTTAATTTGAATTGCTTGGCGGTATTATTTTCCACATGTGACGTAATGCGCTGTATGGTTGCGTACGAATCTAGACAACCTCTTATATATAAACCTTGGGAACAAACCTTATATTTCAAAGTATTTGACATACAATTACATGTTACCAACTAACAATTTATAAACGCCAAAAACACTAAAATAAATGTTGATTGTTGTCAAATTCAATAAATATTTGATAGATTATTTCATGAATTAAAAACGTTATTAACACAGTTTTACGTAATTTATTCATGAATTACATGATTGAATAAATAACAACAAACTCAAAAATTATTTTTTCACCAGTTCTAAAAAATCGGTGAAAGCCAACCTAACCTTAATTTATGTTTGCAGTGGTTTGTAGATATTTATTAATTAAAAACGTAAGTAAATGATTTAAAAACATTCATATTAATTTGACTTGGAATTAGTTTTAGTTCAATTGATTAGTAATGGCAAAACATCATCCGGATTTAATTTTCTGTCGAAAACAACCTGGCGTTGCTATTGGGAGGTTATGTGAAAAGTGCGATGGTAAATGCGTTATTTGCGACTCCTACGTGAGACCGTGCACCCTTGTTCGTATTTGCGATGAGTGCAATTATGGTTCCTATCAAGGGCGATGCGTTATTTGTGGTGGACCTGGCGTTTCCGATGCTTATTACTGCAAAGAGTGTACGATACAAGAAAAGGACCGAGATGGATGCCCCAAAATTGTAAACTTGGGTAGTTCAAAAACTGATCTCTTTTATGAAAGGAAAAAATATGGTTTTAAAAGGCGCTAAATTAATTTTTAAATTAGACATAAGAATTTAAATAAATAATTGTGTGGTTTTGTAATAAAATATTAAATGATTATTTATTTTTATTGTTCAGTTATTTTAAGTAGATTGTATTCAAATTAATTCATACAGGATGTTTCAGGTTTTTGTAGCAGGACTTTAACAGTCGATAGATCTTTTAAAATTAACACAAAAACTTCATATAAACATAGGTCGACAAACGCTTTATTTTGGAGATGCAGGTGTTCAAATTAAATTTTTAAAATGATTTTTATCTAATATTACACGTGTATTTTAACCGATTCTTTTCAAATTTGGTATACAGAGGTTTTTTTGGCATGAGAAAGACGATTATGGAGTCCGTTTTACTATAGCAGGTAAAACGCGCTCTATAACGTATTCTGTACGGATTAAAATAGCAATAACTTTTCTGACAGTATACTTTTTGGCTTTTTAAATAAAAATTCTTATTCTCGATACTTTTTTAAGCAAAAAGTGTACTCTTATCAAAATGCGTTAAAGTTTATCGTTTTCAAGATAGAGGATAGTCGGATAGTTAAAGATAGTTAAAATAATGTGTGCCATGGAAACAAAGTAGGTAAATGAACTAATGTTTTAGTTTATTAATGTTTTTTAATCTAAATGATAAAAGATTGAAGAAAATTTTGCTTGCATAATTCTGACCGACGAATTACGAGTAATGGTATTTAAGAACGGCCTTATATCATTACAAGCATTCCTAATCCTATTAAAAGTTCATCCCTTGTGTGAACAGGTGTCTCATACAATTTTTCTTTTAAATATCTCCACACAAAAAAGTCTAAAGACTGCAAAGCATTAAGATCTGCAGATCGAGGGGCTATGCGACTGGTCCATCTTGCAGGAAAATGGTTATCTGGCTAATTTCTTACCACCCTACCATGATAAGCTGCACAATCATCACGTTGAAACCAGGCCTTTCTTCTTACAGCTAAAAAATAAATTTTGTTCAAATTTTTGCTTAACATTTTCCAGCATTTCAGGAGTTATTATTCTGCATTCATCAATAATACGGTAGCATAACTCTTCCAACGAATCGCACTCGGTAGCATACACTTTACATTTTAAAAATTTTTTTTGAAATAGTTGCTACCCCAAACACATGGAATGAACACAACCAAATGAATTTTTATTACCTACCTGGTTCAATCTGGTTTTTTCTCCATGATTATCATTTTCCTTTTTTAAGTTTTCTTTTTAGAAATATTTTTTATGTTTAGTGAAACTTGAGAGGTGGTGTATCTTTAAAGCCGGATATATCGGAAATAAATCGATCTTCTAACTAACAATTTCTTTTGTGTCGTGTCAATAAAAACAAGATCTATAAAATGATGTACCGCTTGACCACCTCGCTTGGAGGGTAAATTTTGGGGTATAATTATTGCCTCAAAATTTTGGGTATAATTCCACTGTATATGGAAAATGGTAATTGAATTTTTGACCAGACTGTATAAGATACTCTAACACAACAAATGACTATCTATTTGATAGCATCTGAAGAATAATCGTTCCAATTTAGAGTTCTATTTAATGAACGTTGAATTATCTCGTACTACCAACATTTCAAAACTGTGTGGGGGTGAATCATGATAAGCTTTCGATCTAAAATATTTTCAAGATGGTCGACACTTCCGGTTTACCGGATCTAGATCACAACTTTGTTATTTAAAATGGAATGCTATAGTTTTTATTATACCTTTTAACTGTATGCGAAAAAATATGTTAACTTCGATAAAAGTTATTGGTACCTAGCTATTTTCGTTTCCGAATAATTATTATATTTATTCGTTATTAAAGTCCTCTACAAAATTCTCCCTATAAAAGTTCTAACGAACGAGTTATGTGAGACCCCTGTATATTTCGAAATTCAACCATAATGTAGACTCTGTCACAATTTATCCCACGTTTTATCCACATTTTACGTATCATCAGTTACATTCTTCTTAAATTTCACATCTGGATACTAGTATATTATTATTTTTTAACCCTAATTTGTTGTACCCCCTTTTTGTCCACCTTCATCGGCTATGCTCTTTCATCACTACTATTTTCCCCGTTTCTTACCCTTTTACCATTATTGGAAAACTTCTTACCAATTATCTCTGTTGCGTTTTTTCTTTCTTCCATTTTCGTCCTGCTAGGACGAAGTCATTCTGTTTATTTTAGGTTCTATAAGCTCTAATCTACTACATAATTTCCCCATTTGTTCTTTGCCGCTTTCAGCTACCTTTTTTTGAATTATATCTGTATCACCACACCCTAGACTCTCGAAAACCATTCTAAAATCATTTGCATCAATGCCCTTTGCGAACATCCAAACCATTCCTTAAGACTACCTCTAGTTTTATTGCTTCGTCTGCACCAAATCCATCGACTCCAAGCATGCCTCCTTTTTTCTCTATGTTTCTAAATCAAATATCGCCTTTCCGAGTCACCTTATCCCTTGTGAAACAGCCTCGGGTACCAGTACATCGAGTACGAGACATACTCGACCTCTTGAAAGTAAATTTTTCAACAGCGTTAAATATGTGTTCTTTGTTCACAGATTAAAACTGGTTGTAGTATTCAGTTACTGGGTACGGTATTTCTAATAAATCGTTCCAATATCCAGAGGTTATACATCTGCTCCATAGCGAGTAGAACCAAAATCTACTCGTTGATTCCACTATTTAATATATGATTCCAGTATTCAGTGGATAATTCCAAATTTCATTGGCTGATTCTAGTGTGAAGTTGCTAATTCCAGTATCTAGTAGATGATTCTAGTATTCATTGCATGTTTTTTTTTTTCATAGAAGTCTTCCGTATACAGTGATGATTTTAATTTTCATTGTGATTAGTTTTTAGCATTCAAAACTTAAATATTATAAGTTGGCAACTAATTTTGCGCGATTTTGGCATAATGTTTTGAATCGTTCAAATGAATTTGAATCGTTAATGTCAACTTTCAGATTACTAAAAATTAAAAAAAAAAGTATATCCGTCCCAAGGACAGTAGAATCTAAGATAGAAACTGGCGACATTTGTGCTGTGTATGGAGAGGGTGTTGAAAGGACTGCTTGTAATTGGTATAACAACTTCAACAAATGGAAATTCTGACCTCAAAGACGCCCCTTTTTCTGATTGTCCAGTTATATTTGATAAAGAGCGATTATATCAACTTTTACACTAAAATTCAAACGACAAGGCAAGTAAGAAAATTCACTCGATCGGAAAGATTTAGAAGTGTGGAAAATAGGTTTCATTTGCTTTAAGTGACAACAACAATTTTGGCTGGTTTGCTTACTCGTTTACTCATGGACACAAGTAACGATTACTGAATCTTTTTCTGAAAAAACTCTTTCAAATGCTGTACGTGAAGTTTCGTTCAATACTGTTGCAGAATTGAGAGCTTAGTTGGATAAATTTTTCGAGTTGAATCTGAATGATTTTTACAAACGATGTATTATTATTGAACGTCTGGAAGCAGTTGTAAACAATAAGGGAGAATGGATTATTAATTATTTGTTGAAAAATATAATATACGGGGTGTTTCAGGTTTTTGTAGCAGGACTTTAACAGTCGATACTTAGATCTTTTAAAATTAACACACAAATTTCATATAAACATAGGTCGACAAACGCTTTATTTTGGAGATACAGGTTGTTCAAATTAAATTTTTAAATTGTTTTTTATTTAATATTACACGTGTATTTCAACCGATTTTTTTCAAATTCGGTATACGGTGGTTTTTTGGCATGAGAAAGACGATTATGGAGTCCGTTGAGGGCGCTCTGTAACGTATTCTTTACGGATTAAAATAACAATCACTTTTCTGACACCATACTTTTTGGCTCTTTGAATAATAGTTATTTATGTACCAAGTCAGCAAAGTGATGCTTTATCGAACGAGTCTGAGTTTGCGAGTCGAGCGAGCGAAGCGAGCGAGGCGAGTAAACAGGCGAGTTCGATAAAGACACTTTGCTGACGTGTTGCATACAACATTTTNAGTAGAATCAAAATCTATTCGTTGATTCCACTATTTAATATATGATTCCAGTATTCAGTGGATATTTCCAAATTTCATTGGCTGATTCTAGTGTGAAGTTGCTAATTCCAGTATCTAGTAGATGATTCTAGTATTCATTGCATGTTTTTTTTTCATAGAGGTCTTCCGTATACAGTGACGATTTTAATTTTCATTGTGATTAGTTTTTAGCATAGAACCGCACATTACTAGACAAAATACAAGGTATAGAATGGCAATTGGACTAGAAGAAAGACTAGTTGTTTGTTTAAGATAAGAATACATTTAGTTTAATTTTATTTTTTAAATTAAAAATTTGAATTGACAGATGAACACCTGTTATTCATCTGTGAATTCGAATTCGATAGAATTTGAATTAACAGATAAAGTAGAATCGTTCGATTGAGGTACGGATTGAATTGTTTCTTGAGATATTTCTCGAGCTGGTGCTGTCGATGTACCAGATGCATCCTCATTGCTAAGTTCTACCTCTACATTGTGGACCATGTGAAACCATTGTGAAACAAGTCCGCTTTTATCTGTAGCTGCTTTCTGACTGGGAATCTTTTAACAGTCTTTGCCATTGTCATGAAAAAATCTATCAACGGATCTGAGGTCGGAGTTTGCGACGAGCCTGAATTTGTTGACGTTTTCGATAAATATTCTTGAAACACTGTCGCTGCGGTGGTCGGTTGGTTGTTGATTGATGGTGCTCTATACGGTGTAAATCTCCGTTTCTGAGATGTAAGTGGAGTGGACTTTTTTAAATTAGACGAAGACGAATCGGAAATTTGTGAATCCCCTTCGGGAGAATCAATTAATAAGTCTGGACTTCTTATATCCAAATGACTTCCAGGTCTTAATATGTTTGATCGCCGATTCTCTTCGTCATTTAAATATGGTATTAGGAAACTCAGCTCCTGAAAATACTTTGGAGGTTTGAGGCTATCTGCCGACTGACCACTTGTACATTTGCGAAGATTTAAAGCTTTCCGAAAGTTTTCTCTGATCCTTTGCCATTTATCTTTACATGTTATATCTGCAAACGTATGAAATACATGAAATATTTAAATTAAAAATGAGTTAAGGTCCTAATAAAATAATTTTGCAGGTTTCTGACAACCGGGAATTCTTTTACATCTTTAGCTGCTAACTATCGATTGGGCGAGACTACAGTACGAGAGATAGGAGAGATACGAGAAATAGTATACTCTACCTGTGAAGCAATTTGGGCCTCTATACAACCAATCGTAATGCCCACACCTAACGAGAGTTTGTGGCTCTCATCGGAAGCACAGTTTCGGGAAAGATGGAATTTCCCAAATGCAGTGGGAGCACTTGATGGGAAACACATATTGATCGAAGCACCACAACATATTGGTTCTAATTATTTCTGCTATAACAAACACTTTAGCATTGTGTTACTAGCGTTAGTTGGTGCAAATAAAAAATTCACAGCGGTAGATGTTGTTGCTTTCGGCAAAAATTCTGATGCTAGAATATTTCAAAATTCAAATATGGGACAAAGTCTCAGAAAAGGTAACTTTAATATGCCCCCACCAAAACCGCTACCTGATGGAAATAATTTACCACACTTTATCGTGGGGGACGAAGCGTTCCCACTATGCACATACTTAATGAGGCCGCATTCACGTGATGATGTAAAAGGAAATGAAGAAAAGAAGATTTTTAACTATCGATTATTGATTACGTAGTTGATTACTATAATTATGATGTTTCAAATTATATAATTCCTCATAATTTTGTACAAGAGAAATAAGGGTACTTTCCATCTTGATAAAGTCAACTTACGTTGAAGTTGACTTACTTGAAGTTATCAGGATCGCCCTGTACGCATCGAACGTAGTGATTCTGATGACGTCATACGCATTCATATATTGAATTCGTACATCCACAGCATTTTATTAAAAAGCGGCTGTACGGTGCTGATAGGTGTGCGGTACTACATAAGATATCATATAGTAAATTCTAAAAATCGTTTCATGCGTCGCGTGCGGCTAGTGCGATGCTGCTAGGTGCGCGTTCACCTTTAAAAGGCTTGTTCAAATTTCCTAGAGAAGAAAAGCGATTACATAAAATTTCTAGCAAAATGTCAACGGATACCATTGATGAAATAAAGAGTTTGGATATTGCATTAATCGTAAACATTGCATTAGGTGATGCGTTGAATTTTGCAAAAGAGTTAGGCATGATTCCAGAATAAGATAATGTTTAATACACCAAGAAACATGTGAAGATATTAACGAAATACTAATTCGAAAAAAGGAAGCAACATAACGAATCAAGTTTTCCAAGATTTTGAGGATGATAAAGAATTTACTTACACAACTACATCTTTGGACTTAAAGGATTATTCAACAAAAATAACAGAAACATCGCCATACCTAAAAATTAATTTAGAAAACGGTGAAAGTATGATCGTCAAAAAATCTGCATACTGTTGAGTGTTAAATGATGCAAAAGAAAAAGTCTTTACGGACAGACTAAGAAGATTCTATACGCATAAAAATAACGTAAAGAAATTTTTACAAAAAAAGAAGAAAATTTGCAACAGCAGCAGCAACAGCGTTTCTGAAGAAAACTCTGTCAAGTGCGATGACAGTACGGACACAGAGAACTTTTCATCAGTTGAATCAGAATTAAGTAGCAATAAATCTACATTTAAAAAATATGAGTCAAAAATAGGAGAAACTGACATGAAAGTGTCTGATACTGACACAGATTTTGGAGCAAACTGTAATCTAGACCAAAAGCACATAACAAAAAAAAAAATAGATAACCTAAAAGTATAATACCTATATTTGATAAATTTTATATTGTTAAGTTTAAAGTCAAAAATAATATGACATATTATGTAGGTAAAGTTAGGTCAATACTTGATGATCAAAATATTTAAGTGAATTTTTTGAGGCAATTTAGAAAGACAAGAAACAGATTTATATGGCCCGATGCCAAAGGTGAGGTATACGTTCCTTTAAGCGACCTAGTCCTTCAATTGTCTAATCCTGTTTTGGATAGAAGACAGGGTTTACTATTTTACTTGGAAGAAATTAAACCGTTTCTTTTAAACCTAAAGTAGTTTTTAGAAAACCTTTGTATAAAGAACTATTGTTTAGTTTACAGTTACTTTGAAGATTTATTTGATTTTACTTTTTATTTAGATTATGTGCTATTTAGTTTTATTATTTAGCAGAATACAAAAATTACAAATTTTAGCAACTATACAGGTTGGTTCAAGTTCGATGTCCGAATAGTCTATCTCGGAAACTATAAGAGTTAGAAAAAAAGTAGCTGTCATAATCTCGTTTTTCGAGAAACTGCTAATACCGAAAACCTCAAAGCGCTATCGACTTTTGTTTTTCCCCTAAAGGTCAAAATTGAAAATATCGTAAAACCAACAAATTCAATTATCTTTTTTATTATTATAGGTGAAGTTATTACTAAGACATTATGTGGACACTTTTTCACAATTTATGTGGACAAATTCGATATTTTTTTCTGATTACAAAAATATGGGGTTAGATAGGTCTATTTCTTATTGTTTTAGAATAAAGCAAAATATAGACTTTTTTTAGTGTCGTCAAAGAAATTAAATCTACAGTTTTCTGTAAATTACGGTACTATAAAAGTTAAAAAACAGGATTTTTAAGTTGACACTTCAGAAAATTTTTGAATACAAACAAATGTCGCTATGTTTATTTAAATTTTTAAAAAATTATGAGCGCCATCTATCAATAATTTATTAAGTCATTTAATAATAATATTAAATATTAATAAAAAATGTGAAATAGTTCAATCTATTCCAACTTTTGTGTAAAACAAATATGAATTAAATAGTTCAACAAATGTATTTGTTTCAAATATCAGAAATATGTGTTTTTAATTTCTAGTTATAATTTACAGGAAACTGAAAATTTAATTACAGTCAAACTCTATATTTTTGTAATCAGAAAAAAATAACGAATTTAATAAGCGAATAATCCATTTAAAAAAAAAGAAAATTGTCATGATATCTCAAAATCTAAAACCGAAAAATTTTATTTGACTACGTCATGAAATTCTCAGTAAAAAAGTGTCCATATAATGTCTTAGTTATAATACTCCACCTATAATAATAACCAAGATAATTGCACTTGTTGGTTTTACGATATTTTCAATTTTGACCTCTAGGGGAAAAACAAAAGACAATAGCGCTTTGAGGTTTTCGGCATTAGCAGTTTCTCGAAAAACGAAATCATGACATGTAAGCTACTTTTTTTCTAACTCTTATTGTAGTTTCCGAGTTAGCCTATTCAGACATCGAATTTGAACCATCCCTGTACATAGAGACGCCTATTTAGATGATGAGGTAAGGGTATAGGTATTAACAGAAATTGTAGAGGAATTGGGGAAGATATTGCAAAATTATAAGGACTTAACTAAAAATTAAGAAATTTAGGTATTGTAAGGAAACGCACGAATATTACCGGTATTATAAGGAAGTGTAGGAAATGGTGTACAAATATTGACCAGCGAATTACCCCTCGGTTTTTGCTTAAAAAAGTACCTAGAATAAGAATTATTATTCAAAAAGCCAAAAAGTATACTGTCAGAAAAGTTATTGTTGTATTAATCCGTAAAGAATACTCTACCGGCTATAGCAAAAAGGGACTCCATAAGAGTGCGGGAAGTTAGCCCCCCATTTTTTGATTTTAAAATTTTTTATTGTTGTTCTAGATTGTTCTAGAGTTGTTCTACATTGTTCCAAAGCGGCAAATCGAAAAAATAAAAACTCCGCGAGAAAACCGAAAAAACAGGTTTTTTGACTAACCCCCCATTTTTGGAAAAATCAAATTTTCTTTGTTGTTCTGGGTTGCTCTAGTTGTTCTAGTTATTGTTCTAGAAAATCTAAATTATGGGTTACAGCATTACGAAGTTATAACTAAAAATGGGTTTGGCCGCCGAAATGTCTAGTTGATTGCTGTGACCATAGTTTTTCTATTATCAATTCCATATTACAAATACATACTTATTATAGCTAACGCAATCTAGAACAGCTATTATTTTCACTAGAACAACTCTCTAAAGGGCACTTTACTCTTTGAAAATTAAAGTTTTTTGAAGTTTCAGTCAGTAATTCTTGTGTCAGCGGTTTTATATTACACAATAAGAATTAAAAAACATAGAACAATCTAAAATAACTGAAACTTTGCCGATTCAAATTGTTCTAGATGTGTTTTATGTTTAACACGGACATTAATTTTGCAAAATCACATATTTTTTGTTGCTCTAAATTGTTCTTGTTGTTCTAGGTACTTAAAATGTTTATTTAATCACTGCGGCATTAGTTCTTTTAAAGCTTTCATATTAAAAATTAGTACTTACAACAATTAAAACAATTCAGAACAGCTGTTATTTTCACTGGAAAAATCTTAAATTTCAGTTGTTGTGATATCGGACAGGTTTTGTTGAATCAGTGAACCCAATCTTTAATATAATAATAGTTTTAAAAACTAAAAAAATATGGCATAATCTGACCATTATAATTTTCTAAAAATCACAAGTTTTACCTTTCTCTTTAAACTTATAATAGTAAAACATAAGATGCGATTTAATAGTTATTTATATTACAAGTGGGCTAGAAACATAATTACAGTACGAGAGTGGAGAATTGCACGACGAGGTCGTAGACCGAGTCGTGTAATCACACGAGTACTGTAATTATGCTCTAGTACGGAGATCTTCCATTTTTCGTAATAGGGTTCTAGGAGACGGAGGTGCGTTTGGATGGAGAGCATTGCGATTTTGGGGTCTTTGGAATGGGCGTAAATGGCGGTGTCGTCGGCGTATGTGGCGGTTTTTGTTTGAGGAAGTTGTGGGAGATCGGCGGTGAAGATGTTGAAAAGGTGAGGAGAGATGACCGCGCCTTGCGGGACTCCGGATTCGATGGGTTTGGGGGGTGAGAGGGTTGTGTTGATTTTAACCTGGAGTTTTCTGGAGGTGAGGTAGCTGTTTATGGTTTTGATGAGGTATGGGGGATATTTGGATTTGTGGAGTTTGTGGAGGAGTCCGTCGATCCAAACCGTGTCGAAGGCCTTTTCTAGATCTAGGGAAACGAGGGCGGTGTGGGAGCGGGTGTTCAATTTCTCAATGGAGTCGTTAATAATTCTGGATATTTGGTGAGTGGTTGAGTGGGATGTTTGGAATCCAAATTGGTGGTTAGGGATGGTGTTATTTTCGAAGGCGTGGTAATTGAGTCGGTCCAGGATGACTCTTTCCACAACCTTGGACATGGACGGGAGTAAGGATATTGGTCTGTAGCTGGACGGGATTGTCGGGTCTTTGTTTGGTTTGAGGATTGGACAGATTGTGGCGGTTTTCCAGGTGTCGGGGAAGTGTTGGAGTTTAAGGATATGGCGTGTGATGTACGCCAGTTGGACGAAGGCTTTTTTCGGGAGGTTTTGGAGAAGGATATTTTGAATGTCATCGCAGCCGGGGGCTTTGAGGGGTTTGAGGTATTTAATGATGGTTTTAATGGTTGCCGGGGTGATGAGGTGAAGGTCGGTTGGAGGGTCATGTTGTTGATTTAGGAAGGTTTGGATTTGTTCGGTTATTTGTGTTTGTTGTGGGGTGGTGTTAGGTTTGGATTTGTGGATATTAGAGAAGTGGTTGGCTAGGAGGTTGGCTTTTGCAGGTTCTGAGATTTTGTAGGAGG